GGGCCCTGTGGCGGCCGAGCCATCACTATTGCTACCAGTGACACCATGCGTCTGGACCCTGTGGCGGCCGAGCCATCACTATTGCTACCAGTGACACCATGCGTCTGGACCCTGTGGCGGCCGAGCCATCACTATTGCTACCAGTGACACCATGCGTCTGGACCCTGTGGAGGCCGAGCCATCACTATAGCTACCAATGACACCATGCGTCTGGGCCTGGTGGCGGCTGAGCCATCACTATAGCTACCAATGACACCATGCGTCTGGGCCCGATGGCGGCCGAGCCATCACTATAGCTACCAATGACACCATGCGTCTGGACCTTACAGCATCATTTGTCCACTGCCGATTGGCTGAATATCGCCATTGGAGCTCAATGTCTTAAGTGACCTCCAGCCTCCCCCTTCTGTCTCGTACAGGTGGACTGAAATGGCTTGCTCTGATTTCACCGCACACTGGGAACTTCTCACAATGTGCATTACAAGCTGCAGCAAGTCATAGCCTCGCTCTTTTCCTGGCTGGAGGACGTCCAGCATCATCTAGCACTTTCCTCCCCAGCCTGATCGTCCCTGGCCCACCCTCTCCACGGGATTTCAGTTCTTCCAATCATGGAGGTTCAGCATCACATGCGATAGTCTGCCTACGAGCACCCACTCCTTCAAACCAATGCGTGGCCATCAAGGCATTTTGCTATTTGCAGAACTCCTCCCACTGCTTATATCAGGACTGAGGGCTCTTGAAAGGAGTACTGGTGCAGGGTGCTGTGATGTTTTTAGGAAGCTTTATACAGCCCCTCCCATCAGCCAGGAGATGCCTGCATTGCATAGAGAAACACAGAGACCCAGTGATGTCTTCAATTGGCCTAAAATGGGGTAGGTCATGAAAGTGAAATTCTGACTTGGCCTAATTCTGCTGCCATCTGCATTCTGTGTGTGTTCTGGAAATGATCGGTTAATCCTCGCAGACATAGTGCAGGGGAGGATTTCTAAGTCTGGTGGACTTCAGCTTTAAAGGGTCATAGAGCTCTGAGCTTGAAGTTCCAGGTCTGCAAACCTACTGTATAGGGGCCTGTTCACACTTGGGAGGGGGGGGCTTAAGAATCGCAGGCAGAATCGGCGAGATTCTGTCAACGATGGCAAAACGTGTGGATCGTAAGGGGGGCACTGTAAGTGGGAACCATGATGTATGTAAGGGGGGGTACTCTGATGTGGAAGCGGGGGTGCCTGAATGGGGCACCCTGATGTGGAAGCGGGTACACCCTGAATGGGCACCCTGATGTGGAAGCGGGTACACCCTGAATGGGCACCGTAATGTAAGGGGGGCACCGTGATGTGGAAGCGGGTACACCCTGAATGGGCACCTTGATGTGGAAGCGGGTACACCCTGAATGGGCACTGTAATGTAAGGGGGGGTACCGTGATGTGTAAATGGGGGCGTCTGGATGGGCACCCTGATGTGGAAGTGGGTACACCCTGAATGGGCACTCTGATGTAAGGGGGGGCACCGTGATGTGGAAATGGGGGTGCCAGAATGGGCACCCTGATGTGGATGCGGGTACACCCTGAATGGGCACTGTAATGTAAGGGGGGGGGGCACCGTGATGTGGAAATGGGGGCGTCTGGATGGGCGCCCTGATGTGGAAGCAGGTACACCCTGAATGGGTACTGTGATGTAAGCGGGGTGCACCAGGGTGTAAGGGGGGGGCACTCTGGGCACCAGGGTGTAAGGTGGGGGGCACCCTGAATAAGCATCGGGGTGTAAGGGGGGACACCGTGGTGTAAGGGGGACACCCTGGATGGGCACTCTGATGTGGAAGCAGGTACACCCTGAATGGGCACTGTGATGTAAGGGGGGGGGGCACTCTGTTCACCAGGGTGTAAGGTGGGGGGGCACCCTGAATGGGCACCAGGGTGTAAGGGGTGGCACTGTGGTGTAAAGGGGGCACCCTGATGTGGAAGTGGGGACAATGTGCTATAAGGGGGGCACCCTGATACGGGAGCATGGACACCCTCATTGGAGACCATGAAGTAATGCCCCCCCCCCCCCCTTCCCTTACCTCATGGTCTCCAAAGAGGGTGTCCATGCTTCCGCATCAGGGTGCCCCCCTTATGTGCCCTGAGTGGGAACCATGATGTAAGGATGGGGGGGGGGGCCTCCCTGATGGACACCCTGATGTAATGGGGGGCACCCTGAATTGGGACCGTGATGTAAGGGGTGGGGGGAATCTTCCTGATGTAGGGAGGCCCCCCCAAACACAGCATTTTTGTAGTACACATGATGCGGCCCTCATACGCAGTCTGGTGACCTCTGTACTAGAGGATGACCTCAGGCTTCACCTATAACTAAAATGTCCTTTTTGCTGGAGTTCCCCTTTACATTCCCAGCAATGCTTTCCTGCTGCCTGTTTCAGCTCGTCGTACTCCATATACTGTTCATGAGACTTTCTATGTCTGATTCCTTTATGTTGGTTTTAGTTGTTCATCTTCAACAACTGAACCGTTAGAAAGCGGAATGTCCATTGTAATGGGCAGGAATGTTGTGTACATGACAGGCGGCGAGGATGGACTACACTGACTGTCCCTCTGCTGTCCGCCATCATTGTGATTGTGCATCCCTGAGGTCTCAGCGGCCTCTGAAATGTCTGTCAGGCGGATTATGCAGCAAGTAGTCCAGGCAGCACGCGGGGCCGCCACTCGCTTTAATCCGAGTCCTGAGCGGCGATCAGCTTCAGACAATAGGGAGTCTCCGGCCGAATGAATCTCTCTTCCTAACCTTGGAATAAAGAGCAGCCATACTTAGGCTGTGACCTGAATAGGGGGATTGTCTTCTAGTGCCTATGGCCGCTGCGTGCGTCCTGCGAGCAGCGAGGGACCTCCTTTGTGTCCTAGAAATGGCAGCGCTTGGCCGGCTGTGCTGACGTGCCCACCCCTGCCAGGTCAGCGCATCTCTGCTCAGCCAAGCGTAGGAACAAAATGGCTGCAGCGGGTCTGTGCACAAGGGATGCGTCCTGACCGGTCCCCCCCCCCCCCCCCCTCCAATGTCTGTTAATTATGTGCTGCTCTTTTTTAATTTTTTTATTTAAGTGGCAGAATGGGAGGTGGACCTTGTTGGTTGGCAGCTTGCTGAGACTTGTGGTTCTAAAATGGAGGAGAGGAACAGATTGCTTCTTGGTCATCTAATTTGTGTGCGCATAGAACTGCCTTCACAGTATGCGTCTTGCCCCACCCCCCCCCCCCCCCCCCCCCTTCTAACATAGAAATGATCTGGTGGTTGAGTAATGTGTTTAACACCCCCCACCTACCCCTCCTACCGTGTCCTGCTACACATTCCTTCTCCCTGTGATATGCTGCTCCTAAAGCTTCATCACATGCAGGATGGTATGAAGGTGTGCAGAGGTTTTTTTTTTTTTGTTTGTTTTTGTTTTTTTTTTCTTTAACTTTCCCTCTCTGCATTACCCACTTCCCGTCCCATTACAAATAGAATACTTTGCACGCTGCATATCTTCATTCAGCATTCATTTATATTGGCCTCAGGGGCTGACTGACAACTCATGGGACCCCCGGGCAATAGGGGATCATGGGGCTCCTGTTTCATCGCCCACACTCAAACCACACCCAAAAAAGCCTATGAAAGGAAGGTACCAGGGGCATCTCATGGGGCCTCCTACTGACCCCAGGCCTTAGGGGCGGACTGACCATTTGGGCACTGCCCGGATTGGTCTGTACCCACTGAGCATGCGTGGGAAGCACTGCGCTTTGTGAATGGCCTGTAGTCCTCTGGGACCTGTCCATGTCCCAGAAGACTACAGAGAGGGGAGGAGGACAACTTCCGATTGCCTAGGCGATCGCAGCGAAAGTGGGAGCGGGTACCTGCTGCTCCCCAAAGGTGCTAATCTTTAATAGGGAGCGGGGAACAAAGGCTTAAAGTGGAACTTCCCCTTTTGGGTGGAGCTCCACTTTAAGAATTCAAATCTGTACGTAGAGCAATGTTTGTCTTTGGGTATGTTTATCTGAAGCAGAGCCGTCCTTTTACTTTTGACACAAATTTCTATAGTCCAGGATATGAGTAACTTTTCCCTGACAGATCGGAGGGGCTGCAGACTGACCTAGACTGCAAGAAAGTGTGATGGCCTTCAGCCAACCTTGGTGGTTAATACTTGTCTTGCATTGGTTGTTCTTTTGGTTCTAGAAGGCCTGACTGCCAAACTTTGGCACACCCCTGGAGTGAACGCATTCCAGAAACTGGGTTTTGACCGGGGTGGTGATGTGTATTCCTTGTATCAAATACATAGATGTATCAGATTTGGTTATTGACTGGTTAGCCATTGCTGCAATTTCCACACAAGTCAATTGATCTTCATCCTTCTCTTGCAGATGAGGATGATTTGGATGATGATCTCTCGGAAGTCGAAACACCGAAGGTAAAGAAAAAGAAAAAACCCAAAAAGGCACGGGAATCCAAAGCCCCCAAAGGAAAGCATCAGAAAAAGGAGGTAAGCATCTAATTGAACTGTATACAAGGTAGGTGGCACGCTGCTCTCAGGGCAGAGGTGGGCAAAGTGGAAGCTGGGTAGCAGTTGGGATGTGTCATGGGGTTACAGAGTAAGGGCGTGTGTAGGTGGACAAATACAATGTACCCTATAGGTAGTTATTAAGACACGTTGTAAATTTTAGGGGAGGAAAACAAGAGGAAAAAAAAATTCTGTGTCACCCAATGTTTGGACAAATACAATGTAGAGACCCTATTTTTTGCTCCATAAGACACGCACCGGGAGATACCAAGACTTTTAGGGGAGGAAAACAAGAGGAAAAAAACACGGTCTGAACCAATGGACTGCGGACACGGTGCGGGAGATGACCAGAGACTGCGGACACTGTGCAGGAGATGACCAGAGACTGCGGACACGGTGCGGGAGATGACCAGAGACTGCGGACATGGTGCGGGAGATGACCAGAGACTGCGGACACGGTGCGGGAGATGACCAGAGACTGCGGACACGGTGCAAGAGATGACCAGAGGCTGCGGACACGGTGCAGGGGATGACCAGAGGCTGCGGACACGGTGCAGGGGATGACCAGAGACTGCGGACACGGTGCGGGAGATGACCAGAGGCTGCGGACACGGTGCGGGGATGACCAGAGGCTGCGGACACGGTGCAGGGGAGACCAGAGCTGCGGACACGGTGCAGGGGATGACCAGAGGCTGCGGACACGGTGCGGGAGATGACCAGAGGCTGCGGACACGGTGCACTGACCAGAGGCTGCGGACACGGTGCAGGAGATGACCGGTGCAGATGACCAGGCTGCAGACACGGTGCAGGGGATGACCAGAAGCTGCGGACACGGGAGGGGTGGGTGGATGTTTACCTGAACTTGGCAGGTACTTGCTCCCACTTCCACGGAGTTGTCCTCCCCGTTGTCTTGTGGGACACGTGACAGGTCTCCGAGTACGGGGCCATTCACAAACCGCAACGCTTCTTGCACATGCGCAGTGGGCACCCGACTGTGAAGTTGCAAGGTGTCACAGCCGGGTACCCACATTGAAGATGACGGCGCAAGGGAGAGAAGACGGCCAGTGAAACCAGCCATGGTGAGGACACCGCTGGACCGAGGGACACACAAACACTATACAGGAGATGACCAGAGGCTGCAGACCTGCTTGGGGGAGGGGGGGTGCTTCTCGCATATATGCAGTGGGCACCCAGCTGTGAAGCCGCAAGCCGTCACAGCTGGGAGCCCACACTGAATGCTGACGCCAAAGAGAGAAGACCGCCAGTGAAAGCAGGACACCTCTGGACTGAGGAACAGGTAGGACCGAGAAGGTGGTTCTGCACAGTAGAGCCAAGCGGCCGGCCCAGTATTCTAACGCGGCGGGAATACTGGACCGGCTGCTCCATATTCGCTCCATAAGAGACACAGACCTTTTCCCCTATTTTTTTTTTGGGGGGGGGGGGTTCTTTATGGAGCAAAAAATACGGTACATTCAGTTTGCTTTGGAGATCGGTTTGAGATGCTTCTGGGTTCCTTGACAGGGACTTTGACCTGCAGTCTATCCTGAGCTACTTGCCCATTCCTGTTTGACTTGTATGCAGAGAGAAGCAGTTCTGCCACGCACACCAGATCATGTGCACCATGTGTTCCAAGAGCCTTAATTTGGGCATACGATGGATTTATGTTAAGTGTGGAATGAGCGACACCATAATCTTTTTGCAGGATGTGGACGACAGCTCAGGGGAAGGAAATGATTTTGGGGATGATGATCTGGGACCTGTCCGCTCAGACAGTGAAGGCAGCGATTACACCCCTGGAAAGAAGAAGAAAAAGAAGCTAACTCAGAAGAAAGAGAAGAAACCGAAGGTGAAACCACGTGAAGAGGAGGAAGACGACGACGATGATTCCAAGGTCAGTGGGGCCAGAGAGTACAGAACAGTTTTTTTTTTTTTTTTTCCTTTATTTGCAGAGGGTACATGGTTTATGCATCAGCTCAGATATTAACCTGTTGCTACCTGCATAACATCTGACGTTCATTTACTATAACCGGAGGGTGCAAATCCACCCTGGTTATAGTCCTGTCACCCTAGCAGTACAGTGTCACCTGTAAACTTGTGGGGGGGTGGTGAAGATTTGATTTTTTTTTTTTTTTTTTTTTTTTTTTTTTTTTTTTTATACACGGTTTGCTTTTACACCCATAACCGGAGGGTGCAAATCCTGGTGCAACTCTGCATAGAAACCAGTCGGCTTCCAGGATTTATTGGCAAACCTTAACCAATTCAAGTCCGGACACTTTCACCCCCATCCTGTCCAGACCAATTTTCAGCTTTCAGCGCTATCACGCTTTGAATGACAATTGCGCGGTCATGCAACACTGTACCCATGTGGGTTTTTTTTAGCATTTTTTGAGACTGATAACTTTATTTTGGTGGCATTTACTCACCACCGGGATTTAAATTTTTTGCTCTATAAATGAAAGTCCAAACATTTTGAAAATTTGTTTTTTTCTTATAAAATTTTGCAAATAAATCTTTCGTCATAAATCTTGGCCAAAATGTATTCGTCTATCTTTTAAGTAAAAAAAAAATAACCCAAATTAGTTTAGCCAAAAATTATTATTTTTCAAAAAATTTACATTTTTATTTTTTTTATGTGTTTTTTTTTTCTTTTAACATGCTGTCACCCTAGCAGTACAGTGTCACCTGTACTACTTGTGGGGGGGTGGTGAAGATTTGATTTTTTTTTTTTTTTTTTTTTTTTTTTTTTTTTTTACACGGTTTGCTTTTACACCCATAAAGGCTGTAAAAGCAATCATTTCTCCTTCTCTCTGGCTGCATTCTTGCAGCCATTGAGAAATACTGTGAGAGCTGTGATTGGTCACAGCTTGTCACATGGTACAGGGCAGTTGTGAATAGCCTTGTACCATGTGACCTCTGCTTACTACCCGTGAAATCTGTGAATGATCACAATGTCAGAAGTGACATCTTGCTTACTATTCATGTGATCACTGATTGGCTAATCAGTGATCACATGATTGGGACCACACACTGAGGTCCCGTACAGCAATCGGTGTTCCACTGTGTCCTCCGGATCACGGTGCCGCCCGCTCCCAGGGAGCACGCACAGGCGGGGAGCAGGCAGGACATTTATAAACTGCCACCCGCTCCTGCAGTGCTCCCATCCGGCCGTTTATATACATGGGTCGGATGGGAAGTGGGTTTTAAATAAGCTGATTTGGCCACCATGCACAGCTGCATCAGATTTTGAGTGCTCCAGTAAATCCCTTAGGGTGGGCTTTAACACCCACATGGCACACTAAGGCATCGCTGGTTGGCCATTTATTTCTATTCTGAGAGCATGCATACTGCCAGTACAGAAACTGAGCTGACAAAGATGACTCTTGGTCCGGGTTAATGGTCGATAACCAGTGGGACCAGCTCCCAATCATGCGACCACTGTGACAGCCAATCAGTGGTTGCATGATCACCAATCCTCTCCCTTCCTCCCCCCTCCCAGGCATTCACAACTGTTTTTTTTTTTTTTTTTTTTTTTTGTTTTTTTGGTGACGCCATGGTGGGCGGAAGGGGTTAACCCATATTGGAACTGTATCTTCCATTGCATTAGGAGTAGCCCACAATATTTGATTGCTCACTGGCTGATCTGTTCCAGTGCTGGTTTGACAAGACTTTCGAAATAAAGCTCTTTTGTGGGTCATTTTGTGGGTATTGTCCTGATAAAAAAAAAAAAAAAAATGAGCAGAGTGAAGTCTGTTTTCTAGTCAATTGATAAGTTGCCTTCTCTGACATGTTGGTCTCACCACCCCGGGGTCTGGGGAGAGCGGATATAGTGAATGCGGGGTTCGGGGTGAGCGGATATAGTGAATGCGGGGTCCGGGGAGAGCGGATATAGTGAATGCAGGGTCCGGGGAGAGCGGGTATAGTGAATGCGGGGTCCGGGGAGAGCGGTATAGTGAATGCGGGGTCCGGGAGAGGGGTATAGTGAATGCGGGGTCCGGGAGAGCGGGTATAGTGAATGCGGGGTCCGGGGAGAGCGGGTATAGTGAATGCGGGGTCCGGGGAGAGCGGGTATAGTGAATGCGGGGTCCGGGGAGAGCGGATATAGTGAATGCGGGGTCCGGGGAGAGCGGATATAGTGAATGCGGGGTCCGGGGAGAGCGGGATATAGTGAATGCGGGGTCCGGGGTGAGCGGGTATAGTGAATGCGGGTCCGGGGTGAGCGGGTATAGTGAATGCGGGGTCCGGGGAGACCGGGTATAGTGAATGCGGGGTCCGGGGTGACCGGGTATAGTGAATGCGGGGTCCGGGGTGACCGGGGTATAGTGAATGCGGGGTCCGGGGTGACCGGGTATAGTGAATGCGGGGTCCGGGGTGACCGGGTATAGTGAATGCGGGGTCCGGGGTGACCGGGTATAGTGAATGCGGGGTCCGGGGTGACCGGGTATAGTGAATGCGGGGTCCGGGGTGACCGGGTATAGTGAATGCGGGGTCCGGGGTGACCGGGTATAGTGAATGCGGGGTCCGGGGTGACCGGGTATAGTGAATGCGGGGTCCGGGGTGACCGGGTATAGTGAATGCGGGGTCCGGGGTGACCGGGTATAGTGAATGCGGGGTCCGGGGTGACCGGGTATAGTGAATGCGGGGTCCGGGGTGACCGGGTATAGTGAATGCGGGGTCCGGGGTGAGCGGGTATAGTGAATGCGGGGTCCGGGGTGAGAGCGGGTATAGTGAATGCGGGGTCCGGGGAGAGCGGGTATAGTGAATGCGGGGTCCGGGGAGAGCGGGTATAGTGAATGCGGGGTCCGGGGAGAGCGGGTATAGTGAATGCGGGGTCCGGGGAGAGCGGGTATAGTGAATGCGGGGTCCGGGGAGAGCGGGTATAGTGAATGCGGGGTCCGGGGAGAGCGGGTATAGTGAATGCGGGGTCCGGGGAGAGCGGGTATAGTGAATGCGGGGTCCGGGGAGCGGGTAGTGAATGCGGGTATAGTGAATGCGGGGTCCGCGGTGAAGTAACAGTAGGTGTTATCCAAAACGTTACATTCAAGGCATGCCATCAATGATAGCTTTAAGTTTGTGTTCTCATTTGAATTGTCAAGCCATCAAATGGTTGGGGTCATAGCTGATCTGCAGATGCCATGGTGCTGCACATGTGATCAAACTGAGGCTAAGATGGCAGCTTCCTTGGCTGTAAGGGACAGGAGGGTTAAGTTTCCCTTTTGAGTAACATTTAAAACTGATTTCCTCACTTTGTATTAGCAGTGTTGTGTGGTTGGCCTTTTAATTCCATAAACATTTATTCTTTTTTCGCCTCCAAGGAACCAAAGACTTCAGCACAGCTCTTGGAAGACTGGGGCATGGAGGACATTGACCACATGTTCACAGAGGACGATTACAGGACGTTAACCAACTACAAGGCTTTCAGTCAGTTTGTTAGGTACGTTTTTGGCTTTTCTCTTTCTACAGATTGATTCTACTTTTGAGGTTCCATTGCATACCATTCTGATCTTGTCCGTGTCTGTTTTGTTTAGGCCTCTAATTGCTGCAAAGAACCCTAAAATTGCTGTTTCTAAGATGATGATGGTTCTCGGAGCCAAGTGGAGGGAGTTCAGCACCAACAATCCCTTGAAGGGCAGCTCTGGGGCGTCTGTGGCTGCTGCAGCTGCCGCCGCTGAGGCCGTGGTTGCCAGTATGGTAGCATCTACTGAGGTGGTTGTTGTTCCTCCCCCACCACCAGTAGTTGAGGTTCCACTACGCAAAGCCAAGACCAAGGAAGGAAAAGGCAAGTGTGCCAATCACGTGTGTGTAGAGGAATTTAGAAGGCCAAATAAATGTGCTGTAATTTTTTTGGTTATATGGCTTGTTGGCTTAGAAAGTGGAAGAATGGACATTAAAGTAGAACTATTAGCAAAAAAAAATATATAAAATAAATTTTGCAATGACTAAAAAAATCAAGTTCAAATCAACCCACTATAGTGAGAAAATACATTATTTTGCTCACTATAGTGGGTTGATTTGAACACCTGATTATTTGGTCACTGATATAGAGATAAATATAGATAGATATAACACTTCTAGGACATTCTCACAGCAATTTATTTATTTATTTTTTATTATATAGATAGACCCCATAGTGTGGCTTTTTTTTTTTTTTTTTTTTTTTTTTTTTTTTGAGTTAGGGCAGCTGGTAAAGGAATCAATGGGTTTCATTTTTGAAAGGCAAATAGACTGTTGCAGTCTATTGCCAGTCAAGTGCAGTTGCTCCACAGCTTAATAAATGAGGCGAGGCTTCACTGGCTTCATTCACTGGAAGATATTTTGAGGTCATATGATAAGAAAAAAGTTGGGATAGTATGTTGATAATTTAAATGTATTTCAGTATTTTTTTTATAAATTTTGGCACTGTGAAGTGTATGTGCCACTCTTTCACTAATTCACTGTGGTTTCATATTAATTCCTTTATTTCCTGTCCCATAACCAAACAGGAAGTGAAGGGAAATCACTGCAAATTAAGGGAATTCCTGGGGGGGGGGGGGGGGGGGGGCAGGTCACTGGAACTAGTGTCCCCATTGGACAACCCAAAGTTTTGGATTTTACTTTCACTTTTAACCTCGGCGGTCTGATTCTTTCCGATTTTTTGTGCTGAAAGCGGTACCATTTTTTTTGCATGGAAATATGTAGTTTTTTATTGTAGGCTGTAATTTTTAGGAATAACTCCCTGAAATCTGTCCGAACAAGAGTCTAGTAAACATCCCGGGTAGGATAAAACTTGAAACACGAAATCATAAATTATAATTTAATAAATAATCATAAAAAATAATATAATAATAATTTAATTCAATAATATAATCAAACCAAAAACACTGAAATGTGAAATAGAGGGCCAAGTTCGCACATCGCTGAGCAAAGGTGCAAAATCGTTTTCAGTGTCTGATGATGAATTTCCCCCACGAATCATTATCACTCAATTCTGCAAGTGGTTCTGATTTACTATCGCTGTTCTCTAGCCGGTCTAAAACCGCTTTTGATGTAAAGGGACGCTTTTTGGACGCCATGGACTTTTCTAAGTTTCCAGGCAGAAAGAACATTCAAAATGCAGGCAGGGCATTGTGAAATGCATTGAAAACAGCAATGACAGCAAAAATGACATTTTTAAAAAAATTCAAATTTCCCGCCGTATTTCCCGTATATCCTGACGGCACAGGGACCGGAACACAGAAGCCGGATGCCGGCATCGGCCGGGGACGCTGCAGGGGACACATCGCGGGAGCGAAGGACAAGGTAAGTGCTGCAGGGACCCCCAGAGCAGCACCGCATGGTAAGCCCAAGTGTAGCTCGGGGTTACCGATTTTGGTATAGAAATTTTACCCCGAGATACACTTGGGAATACCGCTAAGGTGGTTAATAATTGTAAACAGGACAAATAGAGCGAATCTCCTTAGTGTGGACACAGACAGTGATTTAAAAACCTGACCGGTGTTCTATCCACTCACTAAAAATAAAAAAAAAATTCCTTTAGTTATACTTTAAGACATATCTAAGCTCAAAAATAAAAATCGGTTACAACTTGCTAATCATTTTGATGTGGTGGCTGTATTAGTATTTTTTTTTTTTTTTTTTTTTTTTTTTTTTTTAAATTTCCCTTTCGTCTGGTGAATAGTCCAACCAGCCACTCTATCTATGGCCTTAAAGCATAGCCGCCTTTTGTATGTTAGGAGATGGCAGTGTTTAAATTTGCTAATACTTATGTTTAGATTCATTTAAAAACACAGTAAATTTAAAGTGTTCGCCTTTTACAAAAAAAATAAAGGTGAACTAACACTGGACACCCTCCCCTCTGGTTCCTGCTGTATGTACCTCCGTGGTTGCTTAGCTGTCCTCACCCCTTGCAGCCCGTCCAGCGGTCTGGGGATTTGAAATCCTCGCTCTTCTCTGTGCAGCGCTTCCAGGATGGACCAGAACAATTTACTGTGATGGTGCTGACCAATCAGAATTGATCTGGCTCATCCTGGAAGCACTGCATGGAGAAGATTTGGGATTTCAAACCCCAACATCGTATGTCTGGCAGCAGGAGTGCCGCCAGCCCAGCAACCCCAGAGGTACAGCGGGGACCATGTTTGTGTGTGTTTTTTTTGTTTGTGTGTGTTTTTTTTTTTGTTTGTGTGTTTGTGTGTGTTTTTTTTTTGTTTGTGTGTGTTTTTTTTTTTGTGTGTGTGTTTTTTTTTGTTTGTGTGTGTGTTTTTTTTGTTTGTGTGTGCGTTTTTTTTTGTGTGTGTGCGTTTTTTTTTGTTTGTGTGTTTTTTTTTGTTTGTGTGTGTGTTTTTTTTTGTGTGTGTGTTTTTTTTTGTGTGTGTGTGTGTTTACATCTAACCTTTATCTGTAAAGGTGAACGAACCCTTTAAAACCTAAAGCCAAGGTTTAAGTGGTGACAAAAACCTTTTTTCTTTTGATATGGTGATGTTCCTCGCTGAATGTTTAATAAAAATCGCTAAATGTCAATATTTTTCTCTAGGACCCAACGCCAGGAAAAAACCAAAGGTTATTCGTCCGCCAGAAAATAAAAAGACCAAAGCCAAGAAGGTGGCTCCTCTGAAGATCAAGCTTGGGGGTTTTGGTTCGAAGCGGAAGCGCTCCTCTGTAAGTGTCCACTGTCACTGCTTCTATTTTATTGTTGCTGTCAGGCTGTGAGCTGAACCTTTGCAATGATCTCATCTCTGCAGAGTGAAGAGGAGGACCTTGACGTGGACTCAGACTATGATGAGGGCAGCATGAACAGCATGTCTGTATCTGACGGATCCACCAGCAAGAGTAGCCGAAGTCGCAAGAAACTTAAAGCCAGCAAGAAGAAGAAGAAAGGTAACGGTCAGGATTGGAGAGCGGCTGGTAGTTAAAGCTGAACTCTAGACTAATGACCAAACACACAGATGAAATGCTTATATGGGAGCGGTTTAAGCTGCCAAAAGATTTAAATTTCTGCACATGTGGGTCTGAGATTTCCACTGCTCTGCCGCAGAGCGCTGTCTTGCCGGGCAGAACTGATTTTTCTGTAGTGCGGTTCAGTAACACGTACAGGTCTTGTCCCTCCCCCAGTCTGTGAATTTGACAGTGAAAGAGAAACAGCTGACTATAGAGCTCCTTGTTAGCATATAAGCACTGCAGCATAAGTGATTTTCTCCTTGTGTTGCTTTTCCCTTTTCCATTATGAGCTTTGCAAGAGGCAGATGCATCAAATTCAAGTGCTTCTCCAGGCTACCCTAACTAGTCTTTAAAAAAAAAAAAAAAAAAAAAGTTCCATCCCCTCCTAACATCCATCTATGCTGACTGACCTGTGTAATAAAGATGTATACACTTGCCTATGTTCAGTCTGGTCCAGTCACATGATCTAGCTCCCCTGTATCAGTCAGCAGCATCTGCAGGGGAGGGGAGGGACCACCTACAACAGAGGGGCCCTGGAAGCCTATGGGTGATGTCACTGCTCCCAGGCATTCCTATCCATTGTTTAGTACTCTCCCCTGCAGCTGCCACTGGCAGACGGAGGGATTTGGTCCGGTCACATAATCCAGCTCCCCTGTGTCAGTCAGCGGCAGCTGCAGGGGAGAGCAAGGAGCCTTGACAACAGATGGGTCACAGAAGCCTATGGGTGATGTCACTGCTCCCAGGCATTCCCAGCCATTGTTGAGTACTCTCCCCTGCAGCTGCCACTGGCAGACGGAGGGGATTTGGTCCGGGTCCACATAATCCAGCTCCCCTGTGTCAGTCAGCGGCAGGGGAGAGTAGGGAGCCCTGAAAACAGATGGGTCACAGAAGCCTAAGGGTGATGTCATTGCTGCCAGGCATTCCCAAACATTGTTGAGTACTCTCCCCTGCAGCTGCCACTGGCAGACGGAGGGGATTTGGTCCGGTCACATAATCCAGCTCCCCTGTGTCAGTCAGCGGCAGGGGAGAGCAGGGAGCCCTGAAAACAGATGGGTCACAGAAGAATAAGGGTGATGTCATTGCTGCCAGGCATTCCCAAACATTGTCACGTTCTCTGTCCTCTCCCTTGCAGCTGCCGCTACTGACAGGGGATCACGTGACCAAAGCGAGCTGAAAATAGGCAAGTATATACATCTTTATTATACATGTCAGTCAGCAAAGGTGGGGAGGGGGTATTTTTCAGACTAGTTAGGTTTAGCCTGGAATTTTACTTGAAGTATGCATCCAGAGCAGCCTTTATGTATCTTCTATACCTGCCTAGAGTTCAGGTAGAACTATAGGTGGGCAGCACAGTGACTAAATGGTTAACACTTCCGCGTGGCAGTACTAGGGTCGTTGGTTTGAATCCCAACCATGGCACCACCTGCCTGGAGTTTGTATGTTCTCCCTGTGCCTGCGTGGGTTTTCTCCGGGTACTCCGGTTTCCTCCCACATCCCAAACATATGCTGGTAGGTGAATTGGATCCTGTCTAAATTGTCCCTAGTGTATGTATGAATGTAAGTTAGGGACCTTAGATTGTACGCACCTTGAGGGTTAGTGACTGATGTGAATGTACAATATATATGTAAATTGACAGCACTATAGAAGTACCTGAAATAGGTAGATATAGGAGAAACATTGTCACAGAAAAGGGTATTTGAATTTTTTTTTTTTTTTTTTTTCTTTCCCCTTTTTAGAGGATGAAACAGCAGGTGGCGTTGATGGCTATGAAACGGACCACCAGGACTACTGTGAAGTTTGCCAGCAAGGAGGGGAGATCATCCTGTGTGATACCTGTCCTCGAGCATACCACATGGTTTGCCTGGACCCAGATATGGACAAGGCACCCGAGGGCAAATGGAGCTGCCCACATTGTGTAAGTGGCTACATCTGCACCGCGGTGATAGACGCTGGGCATTCCGCCTTGTCTGCCCTTCAAATTCATTGACCCTTTTTACGCTTTGCAGGAAAAGGAGGGAGTACAATGGGAAGCTAAGGAAGATAACTCCGAGTGTGATGATGATTTGGATGAGACTGTAGGTGACCCTGAGGAGGAGGATCACCACATGGAGTTCTGTCGTGTTTGTAAGGATGGAGGTGAACTGCTGTGCTGTGACGCCTGTCCTTCCTCTTATCACATTCACTGTCTGAACCCGCCACTGCCAGAGATACCCAATGGAGAATGGTTGTGCCCAAGATGCACGGTATGTATTTCTGTCGTTCTGTTGAAGGATATTGATGTATAAAATGCACAGCTTTTGGTTCTAAAACCCTAATGTCATCTATGCCTTAGTGTCCAGCCTTGAAGGGTAAAATCCAGAAAATCCTGACATGGAAGTGGGGGCAGCCGCCGCCTCCCACCCCTGTGCCCAAATCAACAGATGCCAATCTTGATGCTCCCCCTCCCAAACCTTTGGAGGGCAGACCAGAGCGGGAGTTCTTCGTCAAGTGGCAGGGCATGTCCTATCTACATTGCTCTTGGGTGACAGAACTGCAGGTATGTGGCACGAATAGGACCGTGTCCTGGGTACTGTCTGCAAATGAGTGAGTGAGATCCTCTGGGAAATGCAGAAAATAGATTGCAGGGTTTTTTTGTTTTTTTCTATTTGGCATTGTGTTAATGTGGATGTTTTGCAGATTATGATGGAATGTTGGCTTCTTGCTTTTTTTTTTTTTTTTTTTTTTTTTTTCCTGTGATGAAATATATACACCGATCAGCCATAACTTTTTGTGAATATTGTTGATTTCATTAAAGTGGCATCCGAAAGGGGGTGGGATATATTAGGCAGCAAGTAAACTCATCCCTTAGGTTGAGGTGCTGAAAGCAGAAAAAATGGACAAGTGTAAGGATTTGAGCAACTTTGACAAGGGCCGGATTGTAATGGCTGGACTGGGTCAGAGCAACTTCAAAACAGCAGCTTTTGTGAGATGTTCCGCATCTGCAGTGGTCAGGACCAACCGAAAGTGGTCCAAGGAAGGAAGATGAGGCAAAACAGGGTCGTAGGTGACCAAGGCTCTTTGGTGCACATGGGGAGCAAAAGCTGGCCTGTATAGTCCAATCCAATAGAAGAGCTACTGTAACTCAGATAGCTGAAGGTTCGAGCACATTTTGATTGAAAGGTATCAGAACACACAGAGCATCAGTTGTGTATTGGCTGTTTTTAGCCAGTCAGGGTGACCATGATGAGCCGTGTCCACAGCCAAAAGCATCTACAATGGACATATGGGCTTTAGAACTGGACCACGGAGCAATGGAAGAATGGGACCTAGTCTGATGAATTCAAGAATGGTTTGAGGTATAGACTTGGCCTCCAAATTCTCCAGATCTCAGTCCAATTGAGCATCTGTGGAATGTACTGGAAAAAGAAGTCTGACCCATGGAGGCCCCAACTCACAACATACAGGACTTGCAGGATCCGCTACGAACGGCTTGGTGTCAGATACCACAACAAACCTTCAGAAGTCTAGTGGAGTCCATGCTTTGGTTATGGTGGGTGGTGATAATGTTATGGCTGACCGATGTAGATATCTAACTTTTATTGAAGAAAAAAATGTTCTTCATCATTGTCCCTCTTTGTACAGTTGGAGCTGCACTGTCAGGTCATGTTTAGGAACTACCAGCGAAAGAACGACATGGACGATCCTCCAGCCGGCGATTATGGAGTAGATGAAGAGGAGAAGAGCCGCAAAAGGAAGAACAAAGATCCAAAATATCTAGAATTGGAAGAGAAATTTTTCCGCTATGGTATCAAGCCTGAGTGGATAATGATTCACAGAGTACTAAACCACAGGTAAGATGCGGGTGACAAAGCTTGAGACGTCATATGTGTAATTGAACCTTTGTTACCCTTGGACAGGATCCGTCTTTATGGAGAACCTAAAGCACTAGGTTCAGAGCCAACCAGGTGGGTCAGGGGTGCCTAATTGAATTTCACCACATCAGCATTATGGTTGCCCTTAAAGGGTCAGTTGTATTTGTAAGGCTAGATGTTCAGAGCACCCCCCTTTCATTAGATGTCATAAGCCCACCCACCATCAGAAGTTGAGTCCCCCAGTCTCCCTTACATTACAATGCAACCCCTTGCCTTGTGCTGCTGGGTGTGGAGCTGGGACGTGGAACGTGCAGGGTCTGGAGGAGGGCTGGAGTCGGCTACCAAAGTCTGCTCGGTGCTGAGACTAGGGGGTGCTACGGCTACACTGAGGCGAAGGATCTGTAGGAGGAGTTCTGTCATCCACTCTGCTGAGACGGGGGGATGCAGAGAAGAGCCTCTAGGCTGCCGACCTACTGAGACGAGGGGGTTGCTGCAGGAGAGGTGCGAAGGCCACAAGAAATGGCCTGGCGGGTCGGATTCAGCCCGTAGGCCTAGTTTTTGACGTTTGTGGCCTAGAGCACTAGGTTAAAAGCCTACCTGCTAGGTGTAGAGGCACAGACCCAGGGTACTATTCACATGTCATGTATACAGTCATTTTTAAGGTGCATGCAAGCAGGAGAAACGCTGCTGTCCCCTGGGTATAATCAAGCAACTGGAGGCCATTTAGTAGGACCTATTCAGTCTGTTCGGCATTTTATTTGTGTACTTAACCACTTCTGCACAAACTCTTCTGGACTTTAAAATGAAGCCAGAAATGGTGCTTAGCATGCCGTCAACACTCCAGCCTCTTGCCCAGTGCATCCACAATTGCATAAGGCTTCCAGGAGAATACAGTTGTGTATTGAAGTTGGAATACTTATGAATACTATAGCTCTTGTACAAGTAGAATGGGGTGGACCTTTACCAAGGGTATATGGTGTTTGGAGACATTGGGAATACCTGGCCTATAGAGCAAAGCAACATTTTTCTGTTTTTTTGAGGCTATCTGGTTACTGGTGGTCAGAAACTTTTCAACAAAGTACTTTGTGACGGCTAAGAGAAAATATAAATTCTTATGTTGTGTAATAGACATGCTGGGTGCAATAACTAAAAGCAAGTCATATACACACACACAATCAACATGTAGTCACGCAGGTACCTTTTTAATCGGCATTTAAAGCATTACATATTCTACGCATGTGAAAGACCCTCTACCGGATGAACACCTGCGCCCTGGTACATCATCATAGCATTCACCCATGAACACTTGCTGCGCATTCCTGGCACATCATAGCATTCACCCATGAACACCTGCGCCCTGGCACATCATAGCATTCACCCTTGAACACTGAACACCACCCATGAACACTTGCCCTGGCACATCATAGCATTCACCCATGAACACCCCTGCGCCACCCATGGCACATCATAGCATTCACCCATGAACACTTGCCCTGGCACATGAACACCACCTGCGCCCTGGCACATCATAGCATTCACCCATGAACACCTGCGCCCTGGCACATCATAGCATTCACCCATGAACACTTGCCCTGGCACATCATAGCATTCACCCATGAACACTTGCCCATGAACACACTGCGCCCTGGCACATCATAGCATTCACCCATGAACACCTGCGCCCTGAACACCATGAACGCCCTGGCACATCATAGCATTCACCCGGCACTCCACTAAATAACAGAATCCAACTGCGGTATTCTTGCACTGTCAAAACCTCCACTTTTATTATCATGACACACAGGATATATTTTCTCATCACACAATCTGCACAATTGCACACACCAATTATAATGTGAGCATTGCAGCATGAAATAGACACATTTTTGACAGCGGCACAGCATAGAATGAATACATTACCAAAGCTATGTGAAGGCGGGAAGGAACAGATCCCATCGGAACAAACTGCCCAGGGGGTCACAGGGAAGCTGTAGACGCAACCAGTCGATGAGCCCATATAGCCTTGGTAAAAATCCCAGCATCAGTGTGTCCTCTGGCCACTAAGGGGGATGGGCTTCTGCTGGTCTCGCCTGGACCTCTGCCTTATAAACCAATTTTCTGGAAGCTGTCCAATAGTGGGCGGCGCCACACCCGCCACAGGAGGAGCTAGCAGAAGGGCCCGTGAGGATAACAGAGTCATGTTCAACCACCATATTTGTTATCTGAAAAGTCACACTTTTTCTTCCTATCTGCCCCAAAACCTCTTCTCCTCTCCCCCAGAATTAAGGCTTTCTAACTTAGACGTCTTTAAACAGGTTTTTATCTCCTAATACAGTGTTTCTCAACTCCAGTCCTCATGGACTCCCAACAGGTCATGTTTTCAGGATTTCCATTATTTTGCACAGGTGATTTGATCAGTTTCACTGTCTTAGTAATTACCACAGCTGTTTCATCTGAGGGAAATCCTGAAAACATGACCTGTTGGGGGTCCATGAGGACTGGAGTTGAGAAACACTGTCCTAATGTGAGGTTACTAGATGTCATAAACACGTTTCATTCCATAAACAAGTTTTTATCTTGCTCTCTGTAGGATATCTTGTGACTTTGTTCCTTTTGACCTAGAGAAATGACACATCAGTCACCTCTCGTGCTCCTGGCATTTGGGCAACAATGCTTTATTGTAAAAAATGACCCAAGAAACAAAGGGTCCAAGGGCAAAACATTTCATAGGCATTACATGTTGGTAGGCTGCTGCTTTTTTCTAATTTTTTTTCCCCTAGCATTGACTGGGGGACACAGCAGACCATTTGTGGGTTTATGCTCTGCCTCTAGGAGGTTGGACACAAGACAAAGTACATTAGCAAAGAGTGGCATTGGTGGCAGCACCCTCAGAGCAAAGCCAAACTCTGTCTGTTGATTATGAGAAGGAAGAGGGGCGCCGGACTAAGTGCAGCATTAAAATTTTACAATTTATTGGTAAAACAATTAGCAACTCGCAAAGGAAAGGGCCTATCACCAATGTGATCCGGGCTCCCAGGAGGCAGAGAACAAGCAGTATATCCACACATCCGATGTTGGCTGGAAGATCTGAAGAAGAAGCTGTGCTTTGAAATGCGTTACCGCCCACCCACGTCACGCTCCTTCGCTGACGTTACGTCCACCCCAGTTCCGTTTGCGTTCCACGCTGGTTCCCTGCGGCGGCCGGCCGCTCCAGGATACCCTTCCAACCAACATCGGATGCGTGGATCCCGCTTGTTCTCTGCTGCCTCCTGGGAGCCCGGACCACATTGGTGATGGGCTCTTTCCTTTTTCACTTCCTGTGAGTTGCTAATTGTCGTTTTAACCAATAAATTTAAATTTTAATGCTGCACTTAGTCCGGCACCCCTCTTCCTTCTCTTTTTTTTACATACAAAGTTCTGCTTTGCTCTGAGGGTGCTGTCACTGATGCCCACTCTTTGCGAATGTACTTTCATTGTGAATACTAATGGTCCCCCACATGGACTTTTATGTAGCTACATTATGCCCCTCCAGCACCAAATTTGTATATATTTTATAACTTTTGGATTATAATCCTCTGCAGAGAGCTTTTTTCTTTCTCTCTTCTTTCTTTCCTTTTCTTTCTTTCTTTCTTTCTTTCTTTTCCTTTTCTTTTTTTTTTTTTTTTTCTTTTTCTTGTCCTTTTTTTTTCTCTTTCTTTTTCTTTTCTTTCTTCTTTCCCTTTTTTCTTCTTTTTTTTATTTTTCTTTCATTTTTCTTGATTTTTCTTTGCTTTTTCTTTGCTTTTTCTTTGCTTTTTCTTTGCTTTTTCTTTGCTTTTTCTTTGCTTTTTCTTTGCTTTTTCTTTCTTTTTCTCTTTTTTTCTTCTTTTCTTTTTTTTCTCTTCCTTTCCTTTTTTTCTCTCTTTTCTTTTTCTTTTTTAGCTTGGTGTCCTAGTTTTTTTCAGGCTTGGGAAACACTGAATTACTGCTGATTTAACAGCTTTCTGTTTTTGCTTCCTCAGTGTGGACAAGAAAGGTAATGTCCATTACTTGATCAAGTGGCGAGATCTTCCATACGACCAGGCATCTTGGGAGTTAGAAGATGCAGATGTTCAGGACTACGACATATACAAACAGGCGTACTGGAACCACAGGTGAGGGTTTCCACTTTGTTGGGTATCTGCTGCTATCTCATATGCTGCGTTTTGGTTATATAACCTCCTCCAATGAATTCGCAGAGAATTCGCAGAGAACTAATGTGTGGTGACGAAGGACGACCTGGCAAAAAAATGAAGAAAGTTAAACTCAGAAAGATCGAGCGACCTCCAGACACCCCGACTGTGGACGTAAGTTGCCAAGTGTGTGTTGTCTCTGGAGACAGGTATTGTTCTGTTTTTGTTGATTCTCATAAGCCTGTGTTCTCTCAGCCCACAGTGAAATACGACCGCCAGCCAGACTACTTGGATTCTACTGGAGGAACCTTGCACCCCTACCAGCTGGAAGGATTGAACTGGCTGCGTTTCTCATGGGCACAGGGCACGGATACCATTCTTGCCGATGAAATGGGTTTGGGCAAAACTGTGCAGACTGCAGTATTCTTGTACTCTCTTTATAAAGAGGTGTGAGTCTGGTCTTCCTAACCCATAAAATGTTTGGTCAGTATACTGGATGTATTTTGGTCTTCTAGCAAATATTTCTCATCCTAGATTGTAAGCTCCAAAGGAGCAGGGCCCTCGAACCCCTCGTGTATCGCATTGTATTGTTCTTGTACTGTCTCATGTATTGTCTCCCATTGTATTGTACAGCGCTGAGCGAACTGTTGGTGCTTTATAAATACTGTATTATAATAATAATCCTCCTCTCCAAATATTAGTGATTTGTAAATACTATTTTTTTTTTTTTTCCTGAGTCATCTTCCAGGACCGCTTCCATAAGAGATGGAGGCTCCTCCCACCAGTAAACACATGATCCACGTCTTCTATTAACCACTTGCCTACCGGTCACTTTTACCCCCTTCCTGCCCACACCAGCTTTCAGCGGTCTCATACTTTGACAATTGCGTGGTCATGCAACAGTGTACCCAAATTAAATTTTTATCATTTTGTTTTAGACAAATAGAGATTTCTTTTGGTGGTATTTGATCACCTATAGGGGTTTTATTTTTGCTAAACTGAAAAAAGACCAAAAATTTTGAAGAACATTTTTCTTAGTTTGTTATAAAGTTTTTTGTAAATAAGTAAGTTTTCGCCTGCACTTATGGGCCGCACTGATGGGCGCTGTGGGCCGCACTGATGGGCGCTGTGGGCCGCACTGATGGGCGCTGTGGGCCGCACTGATGGGGCCGCACTGGTGGGCCGCCGCCCTGGTGGGCCTGGTGGGCCCCGTGGGCCGCCCTGAGGATCAGTGTAGATGTCCCCCCTGCAAAATGCTGCTTACTGGCTATCCTCTCCTCACACTGTCAGCATAAGGAGAGGACTTCCGATAACTGGCATTTCCTAGTTACCCGGTGATCAGCTGTGATTGGACACAGCTAGTCACATGGTAAAAGCGGCTGTGATTGGTCCGTTCTGTGGCCATGTGATCAGCTGTGTCCGAAGGACACAGCGATCACAGATCACGTTCAGTGTGTGCCCCGGACGGCGTGGTTCTGGTAGGACGTCCTTGGACGCCCTCCCAGAACTAGCCGATCACGCTGTAGCCATCTTTCGGCTATTGCACGGTCGGGAACAGGTTACAAAAAAAGCCATGGGCCCACCTCAGTTCTGTTTCCTCCAGCCACATAGGACACATCCTCGGTTTGTTTGTTTGTTTTTTTTATCAGGCTGTCATGTAGGGACCTCCTGAAGATGGTCATCCTTTATACAAGACTGGGGTCTTGGGGTATGACCTTCACTCAGGCTCTCCAGTACCAATGTGGGGTTCTCTGATGCATTTTTCGTGATGTGCAGTACCAGAAGCATCAGATTTAGAACGTTTTTGTCTATTAATAAAACTTCAATGCAGTCCAACTCTTCTGTCCATTTCAGGGTCACTCCAAAGGTCCCTTCCTGGTCAGTGCTCCCCTGTCTACCATCATCAACTGGGAGCGTGAATTTGAGATGTGGGCTCCTGACATTTACGTTGTCACTTATGTTGGGGACAAGGACAGCCGAGCCGTCATTCGTGAGAACGAGTTCTCGTTTGAAGACAATGCAATCAGAGGGGGCAAGAAAGCCTCGCGGATGAAGGTTTGTAATATATGCATCTGTTTTCATTCTGTCCTGTGTTGCTTGGAAAGGACAGCCTGCCCTTATTGTTTTTTTTTGTATTGTCTGCTCTACAGAAAGAGGCCTCAGTAAAATTCCATGTACTGTTGACATCATATGAGCTGATTACCATAGACATGGCTATCTTGGGATCAATAGATTGGGCTTGTCTTGTGGTGGATGAAGCTCATCGTCTGAAAAATAACCAGTCCAAGGTAAGAAGGCTTTACGGCTTATCTGAATAAAGGGATACTGTGGGTTTTGGTGTCGTCATTTCTAACATGTGTGCCCTGTCTCAGTTTTTCAGAGTTCTGAATGGCTATAGTCTTCAGCATAAACTACTTCTCACAGGAACCCCTCTGCAGAACAATCTGGAGGAATTGTTTCATTTGCTCAATTTCTTGACTCCAGAGCGTTTCAAGTATGTATCCAAATAGCATTGACATAATTACATTTGACAATGATGCATTGGTACATTTTAGTAGGGTACCTTGCCAATGTACCTTGCCCATGTGTACCTCTCCCTTTTTTGCTAATTTCTAACAAAGCAGTTGCCTTATTTTGCGTTTGAGTACTTTTCTTTGAGTTGAGGATGGAAATCTTACAACTGTGCCCTCGGCACTCCCACCCTTGTGTTGCTGCTTTCTCTCTTAGCCCTTGTATTTAGAGGGGCATGTAAAATGGCTCTGGAACCTCTGACCTCTGCAGCATTGACTGGTAAAGAGTTGTCACCACTGACAAGGTTCCCCTACCAGAAGACTTTTTTTTTTTTTTTTTTTTTTTTTTTTTTTTTTTTAGTCAAGTCACCCGTAACAATTCTGCACAATCTCGAGGCATCCATTACAAACTATTAAAACGAAACAAATGGTTTTAAAGAGCGCATACCCAATGTTAGCAGTGATTTTAGTCTTCCAAAGCAAGTACACTTTTGCACACTGGTATTGACTAGTATTCCATTGTTTCCCTCCCCTCAGTCCTCCTCCTCCTCTCTCTCATCCTCCTTTCCCCCTCTCTCACCCTCCCTCCCTCACCCTCCTCCTCCTCCTCTCTTCTCCCCTCCTTTCTCCCCTCCCCTCTCTCCTCCTCCCTTTCCCCCCCTTTCTCCCCTCTCCTCTCCTTCTCCCCTCCTTTCTCCCCGAGCTCCTCGTCTCCCCTCCCTTTCTTTCTCTCCCCTCCTCTTCCCCTCCTCTCCCTCCTCCTTCTCCCCTCCCTTCTCCCCTCTCCCCCCCCTCCTTTCTCCCCTCCCCTCTCCTTTCTCCTCCTCCTTTCTCCCCTCTCTCCTCCTCCTTTCTCCCCTCTCCCCTCCCTCCTCCTTCTCCCCCTCCTTTCTTCTCCCCTCTCTCCCTCTCTTCCTTTCTCCCCCCCTCTCTCCTCTTCCCCTCCCCTTCTCCTCCTCTCTCCTCTTCCTTTCTCCCCTCCCATCTCCCTCTTCCTTTCTCCCCCTTCTCTCCTCATCCTCCTTTCTCCCCTTCTCCTCTCCCTTTCCTCCAGGGCCTCCCTCTCCCCTCCTCGCCTCCCTTCTCCTCCTCCTCCTCCTCCCTTCTCTCCTCCTCCTCCTCCCCCTTCTCTCTCCTCCTCCTCCTCACCCTTCTCCTCCTCCTCCTCCTCCTCCTCCCTTCCTCTCTCTCCTCCTCCTCCTCCCCCTCTCTCCTCCTCCTCCCTCCCTCCCTTCTCTCCTCCTCTCCTCCTTCCCCTCTCTCCTCCTCCTCCTCCTCCTCCCTCCCCTCCTCTCCTCCTCCTCCTCCTCCCTTCTCCGCATCCTCCTCCTCCTCCCCTTCTCTCCTCCTCCTCCTCCTCCTTCTCTCCTCCTCCTCCTCCCTCCTCCTCCTCCTCCCCCTTTTCTCTCTCCCTCCTCCTTCCTTTCTCCCCTCTCTCCTCCTCCCCTCCCTTCTCCCCTCCTCCCTCTCCCCTCCCTCCTCTCCTCCCTCCTCCTCTCCTCCTCCCTTTCTCTCCTCCTCCCCCTCCCTTCTCTCCTCCCCTCCCCCTCTTCCTTCTCTCCTCCCCCCTCCCTTCTCTCCTCCTCCCCCTCCCTTCTCTCCCCCTCTCCCCCCCTCCCTGGTTGAAAAAGGCTGGCTTGAAAAAATGTTAACTGGGAGTGTACTAGTGGTTGCAGATGCAAGGATATTTTCGGGACACATTTCACACCAGCTGCTGTGTTACAACACCGTGGCGGGTGGGTGGCGGCGGTATGACATAGTACTGATGTGATCACTTACAGCTTGCATTTTCTTTTCCTTTTTTTTTTTTTTTTGTGCTACAAGATTTGTAAAGGTGTGGCAATCGCAGCAGAATTGCATCGTTTGAAATGCTATTGAAGGATAATCACATCCAAACATGCGCCACAATTTTGTGCTGGGATTGCCACATGTTTTGGAATCGCTGCAATTCTGCTTGTGATTCCAATATGCAAAGTGTGAATTGAGCCTAAATGGTTTTTGTGCTTCAAGTGAGGGGAGAAGTTGAGCAATGACTGACTCTAAACAGAGTTGCCCTTTTGCGTAGCCTTATGAACACCGGATGCTCGTGTGGGTAGAATGTTTATTACAGATATTTCGGCAAGTAATATTTTAGCTGTTTGTGTTACACACATCATAAGGATTACACGTGGTTAGCGGCAAATCAAACCAAAGTGCTCTCTTTCTGTAGCAACTTGGAAGGCTTCTTGGAGGAATTTGCAGATATTGCCAAGGAAGATCAAATTAAGAAACTTCATGACATGCTGGGTCCTCACATGTTGAGGAGATTGAAGGCCGACGTGTTCAAGAATATGCCCTCTAAGACCGAACTCATCGTGCGTGTGGAGCTCAGCCCTATGCAGAAGTAAGTAACTTGGTAGTCTGTGGTCTCTGAGCCATAAGATATATATTTTTTTTTTTTTTTTTTGCGTTTTATTGAATCAATACAAAAGCCCTATGCAGAAGTAAGTAACTTGGTAGTCTGTGGTCTCTGAGCCATAAGATATATTTTTTTTTTTTTTTTTTTTTTTTGCGTTTTATTGAATCGATACAAAAGCCCTATGCAGAAGTAAGTAACTTGGTAGTCCGTGGCCTCTGAGCCATAAGAATTTTTTTTTTTTTTTTTTGGCGTTTTTATTGAATCGGACAAAAGCAGGAGCCATAAGATTTCTACAGCCGCTAACGCTTCTTACATTTTACAGGAAATACTACAAGTTCATCCTTACTAGAAACTTTGAGGCTCTGAATGCTCGAGGAGGTGGTAACCAAGTGTCTCTGCTGAACGTGGTGATGGATCTGAAGAAATGCTGCAACCATCCATACCTCTTCCCAGTGGCTGCTATGGTAAGAGGATAAAATCAGTTTATTTACAGTAGTCTTGGGCAAAGAGAGGCTTGCATTATCTGACAATAACTGGATCAATGTTGTATTTCACAGGAAGCTCCCAAGATGCCTAATGGAATGTATGATGGCAGTGCTCTTATCAAAGGAGCCGGAAAGCTTCTGCTGCTACAAAAGATGTTGAGAAATTTGAAGGATAATGGACACAGAGTGCTGATCTTTTCCCAGGTTAGATACCCCTTGCTGCGTTCCCTTTTGCAACAGGACGAAGGGTCAGCCGCACACCGGAGGATTGATGAATATAGTGTATATAGTCAATAGAGAAGATGGGACTTTCAGGGTGCATGAACATGAATACTAAACATTTTAAAAAGTTATATAATTTTTATTTCATATTTTTTGTAAAAAACACAAGAAAGGGAAAAAATACAGAAACATAAAAACTATTTCCGTACTAAGGGTAAAACTGAGATTCAAACTTGGTGATTATTATTATTGTACAGGATTTATATCGCACCGTTTGCTCAGCGCTTAACAATACAGTTTAATATAAGAGGGATTTGAGGGCCCTGCTCCTTGGAGCTTACAATCTAGGAGGGAATTGTAGTTACTCCCTACATGTTTCGCCCTCACGGGCTTCTTCAGGGGAGATTTTTTTAAGGAATTTTTTTTGTATATTTATTAATCCATAGGACACACAAAACACCAGGATCTGTGTACAAGACCTGTTAACGTGTTTCACACGATCTCGTGGTTAATCATAGCACAGAAACCGACGAGTGCTGTCTTTTTATATAGGACTTGGTTAATAAAGAACACCTGTCCTAATCGGGACTCCTGAATCCTGAGGATACACCTACTAGTACATTGTAACAAAACTTATACATATAAAACCATTATCAAAAAAACAAGGAAGAACCCGATGTAGTTCGCACTGGGAATCGTACCTAAAAATTGTACACCAATGGTACCTAACCCCTGTCAAACTAGCCATTTACTACCCAAAACACTCCTCTTGTTGGCGACAATGCGGAGACATTGGATCAATATTATATACTATGGTCCTGTAAATCAATCAGATCCTTTTGGAACAGTGTCTTCCAGTTACTCTCTGAAATATCCAAAACACAGATAACCCCAAACCCCTCACTTGCACTTCTACACATTGGGTTTGAAAAACTCCCCTACAATTCCCTTACTATCAGTGTCCACACACTCTTCGCAGCCAAAATCAATATAACTAGATTATGGAACGCTACCAATGCTCCATCTCTCAAGTCACTAATCAGACCTTAATTTCCAATGTGGAATAGGAAAAAAGATCCGCCTTTAACAACTCTACCCAACACAAATGCAAACTCCAATGGAATCGCTGGTTAAAAAATCCTAACTGCTCAGTACAACTCTGAAACTATGCATACCTCTGCATTACCACCTTTAGACTGGTATCCCCCTTCTCCACCCCGTTACACTTACCCCCCCCCCCCCCCCCCTTCCCAATCCTTCTCACTACCCCCCCCCCCCCCTTCAATGCCCCATTATCACCTCACACACCTTACCAAGGTTCTACACATAGCCAAGACTACCTTGATGTTAATGCCCAAATCCCGCTATTGACCCCAGCCAACAGGTGGGGTAAATACTATCATTTTGATGTTGTATAAATACATTTGCTATTGAACCGATTTATTCCTGCTATATTTCTGTTCTTGAAAATCTTCAATAAAGAATATTGAAATAAAAAACAGGGAAGAAAATAAAAACAAAGTGAATAACAAGAAAGAGAAAAAGGAATAATTAATAAAAATTATGAAAAAATGTATAAATTAAAATAAAAAATGAAACTAACATACAAACAAGGAATAAGAACAGTCGTGGTTTTAAAATGCCCTTTGAGTATAATCTTAACTTGTGAATCCTTTGCCCATGGCATGCCATACTTGCATATTGGCTTTTACAATGGGAAGAAATGTTAGTTAATACACAAAGAATGTTCATGATTAATGTAATAGTATCTAGATTGTTCATGTTTTTGTATCAGGGGATCGACAGGCCCTCTTTATTTCCAGTCATGGATGTACTATAGGAATGGTGGGGAAAATCCCCTTTTGATCACTGAAAAAGGGGTCACCATTAGATTTCTCCTCACTTCCTGTTTAAACTTGTATCCTATTTTATATCTTTTTCTGTCCCAGTGACAGACATTGGGGGGAAAAAAATGCAACTCCCCAGTGCCTGACTAATTCCAATCCCTTTCTACTCCATCCAATGAGATACCAAGATGGCTGTAAATCAGGGGTGGGCAAACTTTTTGACTTGAGGGCCGCAATGGGTTCATATATTGGACCCGAGGGCCGACCAAGAGAAGATGAATGATGTGTATGTGTCATCCATAGTAAGTATAGTAATATTCCCCCATTGTAAGCATAGTAATTAATCCCCCATATAGTAATTAATCCCCCATATAGTAATTAATCCCCCATATAGTAATTAATCCCCCATATAGTAATTCGTCCCCCCTATAGTAATTCGTCCCCCATATAGTAATTCGTCCCCCATATTAAGTCCCCAAGTCCCCCATAGTAATTCATCCCCCCCCATAGTAATTCATCCCCCCCCATAGTAATTCATCCCCCCTATAGTAATTCATCCCCATATTAAGTCCCCAAGTCCCCTCTGTGTCAATTAACTTACCTTTGCTCCGCGCGTTCCTCTCGCCGTGTTCCCGCGCCGTTCCGGTGTAGCATGAAAATCTGTCTCCTATGAGGATCTGTCCCCCTCGACGTATCTGCGCATGTGCCAGTTTCAGGCATTTGCAGCCGATCGGCGATCTCCGGCACATGCGCAGATACGTCAAGGGGGACAGATCCTCATAGGAGACAGATTTTCATGCTACACCGGTCTTCAGGGCGGACTGTGAGAGGAGCCTAGCGGGAGCCTAGCTCCGCGGGCCAGATTAAAAGGTCCGCCGGGCCGTATACGGCCCGCGGGCTGTAGTTTGCCCATTGCTGCTGTAAATACACTTTAATAGTAAATGAGGAAAAGGTTCCAAAGAAAGTTAATTAAGATTTGAGTAAACTATTCAGCATTGCTCAATGATTTTAGTAATTTGTAAAAGCCCACCCAAATCACAAAATTATAAATTGACCAATCGATTTCAGCTTCTGTATCTGTTGTGTTAAGGAAATGACCATCCTTCCATTTCCAGTATACAGGGTTACTGCGGTGTGTTTGACCTTCCATGTCTCTTTCCAGATGACCAAGATGTTGGACTTGCTGGAAGACTTCCTGGAGCACGAGGGGTATAAATACGAGAGAATAGATGGTGGAATTACTGGAAACATGCGTCAGGAGGCCATTGATCGCTTTAATGGTTAGTATACTGTCCAAGTAACTTTTGGCTGGCTTTCATGATTATCTTTTCACCTTGTCAGAATCGGAAGGCGGCCGTGTGGTCTGCATGTAGTAAACTGTTACAGCTTGTGTTTTGTTTTTCGCACTCTGTGCCTGATGCCGTCTTGCGTTTTTTCGTCTTGTAGCTCCTGGAGCTCAGCAGTTTTGTTTCCTACTTTCCACCCGTGCTGGAGGTCTGGGAATTAATCTCGCTACAGCCGATACTGTAATCATCTATGACTCGGATTGGAATCCTCACAATGATATTCAGGTAAGAAAGGCTCTCCTTGCCTCTTGCGATTTGGATAAAACCTGTCCCCGAGCACTTCTCTCTCAAACCTTGCCATGCAAAATACTTGTCCATTGCACCCATGTATTCCTCAGCTTTAGTTTATTAGCCTCCTTTCATAATCTATCCACCTACTTGCCTCAATTTGTTTTTTTGTTTTTTTATTTTCTTGAAGCTCTTGTAGTTTTAGGTTATGGTCCGTTATTCAGAAACATTTAATTTGTTGTAATTTGTGTCATTCTGGTGAAATGGTAAATGCCAGCATTTGGACACACTGGGGCTGATTTACGAAAACGGCAGAGGGCACAATCTGGTGCAGCTGCGCATGGTAGCCAGTCGGCTTCTAATTTCAGCTTGTTCAATTCCACTTAAAAAAAACAAAACAAACATGAAAGCGGATTGGCTACCATGCACAGCTGCACCAGATTTTGCACTCTCCAGCACTAGTAAATTAGCCCCACTAGGCTTTGTTTGCTAATTCATGTGTTTGTTGTGTGTGTTTTTGTGTTTTTTTTTGTTTTGTGTTTTTTTTTTGTTATCAGATAATTATCAAGGTTTATAAAAGTTACAAAACAGGCAAAACCAAACAGCAGGCTTATATATATTAAAGAAAAAAAACACCTACAATAAGGACCCTTTCACACAGGTGATCTGATCAAGTCTGCCTGCCACTTCTTCAGGGGGGCTCATTCAGTTGGTTAGGTGAATGTGTCCATTTACACCTTCCTACCTCTGGGCCTGCTAAAAAAAAAAAAAAAAAAAAAGACTCGATCCTTCTCCAATTGGGTGGGCATGATCAGAGGCAGCCAGGTGTAAACTGACAGTGGAGTCCGTTTACTCCTGACCGTCCATAGAGCGCAAGGTCAGTTTTTGTGTCCATTCTGAATCAGCTGAGCAGAAACGGACCTGTCGTGCTCCGATTATCAGGGGATCAGCTCACAGATCTCTTGCTGTTAAGAATGGAAGCTGCCCGTGTGAAAGGGCCCTGATAGAAAAAGGGCAGAAGTTCAAAATGCAGCCGTGTTGTAGAGCAAAACCATCATGGAGGAGCTCCATACACAATACATCATATAGGATACATATATTTAGAATTATACAGGTATAGGTGATGTAGCACCCCTGAAGCATATCCAGCAATGATGCATCACAGGCAGCAACTATCATCTCAGCCATTATGAGTGGTTACAGCAAGGGTCATGGAAAGAAATCCTATTACATGTCATATCTGTCTGTGAATCCATACATTTGAGTGAAATGAGACAAAACAGATGTAGGTAGGTATTTGCATAGCATGTGACCTCCATCTGAAGAAAAGTAAAAATTCAGCATAGTAACCTGTCAAAAAAATTTAGTGTAGGCCAGAAATTGCCAGCCAAGGATCCAAAATTTTGGAAAAATTTTGTAGGGCACCCCCTATGTTAATACATTAGTTTTTGCATGGGAGAGAAGCCTTCACTTTATTTTTCATTATTAATTCAGACAGTGAATATTAACCAACTTTCTGGTTTCTACTTGTCATAAGGAGGAGGCAATATTTTGGGGAAATCTATTTCTGCATGATGAGCTTTTGCGCTCTAAATATCAAGCACTTTGCCCATGTGCTCACAGATATGTTCTTAATCTCCCACTTCTCACGAACGTTACCCTTCCCAACAGGCTTTCAGCAGAGCTCACCGTATCGGACAGAATAAAAAGGTCATGATCTACCGGTTCGTCACTCGTGCCTCCGTAGAAGAGAGGATTACTCAGGTAGCAAAGAAGAAGATGATGCTGACCCACTTGGTTGTAAGGCCGGGTCTCGGCTCCAAAACTGGGTCAATGTCCAAGCAGGAGTTGGACGATATCCTGAAGTTTGGTACTGAGGAGCTCTTTAAAGATGAAGCAACAGAAGGCGGTAAGTCACGATAGAAGTTCCATGAGGGAAGGTGATAAAGGACAATGTCTACCAGGCCTTAACACCTTTTTGTATCCTTGTAGGTGAAAACAAGGAGGGTGAAGACATCAGTGTTATTCACTATGATGACAGAGCCATTGATAAACTACTGGACAGGAACCAAGATCAGATAGAGGACACCGAGATCCAAGGAATGAACGAATATCTGAGCTCGTTTAAGGTGGCTCAGTATGTCGTCAGAGAAGAGGAAATGGTAGTGAGTAACTTCCACTTAAAGGGTTTCATCCGGGGATAATGGTTTCACGGTCCATTTTGAAGCTGGACTGATGCAGTAAAACGATTAGACCTGCACTGTATGCTTAGTTAGAAATGTCTGTGAAAGAAGAAAAAATGGTGTCCAACCTTGAGCCTTTTAGAACTAGAATCAATACAAATTTGTTCTGTGGCTTAGGATCCCCTACCTTCCGCTTTCTGCAGTAGTTTTCCTCCTTTGATTGCAAGATTGGGGCAGCACAGTGGCTAAATGGTTAGGACTTCCACCTGACAGTACTAGGGTCGTTGGTTCAAATCCCAACCACGGCACCACCTGCCTGGAGTTTGCATGTTCTCCCTGTGCCTGCCTGGGTTTCCTCCAGGTACTCCGGTTTCCTCCCACACTCCAAAGACATGCAGGTAGGTGAATTGGATCCTGTGTATATTGTCCCTAGTATGTGTATGTATGAAAGTGAGTTAGGGACCTTAGATTGTACACCCCTTGAGGGTTAGGGACTGATGTGAATGTACAAATATATATTTTTATATATATATATATATACAGGGCTTTCTTTCTGCCGGAACGCGGCGGTACTGCGTTCCGCCACCTTTTTTCTTCTTGTCCCCTTGCTCACCGACTGCCTCTGCAGAGCTGACAAGCTATGCAGAGCAGCGAAAGTGACAGGTGCCGGACGCGGCTTGTTTATGTCATGCTTGCGCGTGCCCGGCACCTGTCACTGCCGCTGCTCACAGCCGGTGGAGCGGGGGACATGCACGCTTCACCCCCCCCCCTCTACCGCCAGCGTGTAAACATCGGGGGCGCGCGGCCACCCCCATAGGAAAGGTGTATCTTAGTACACCCGGCGGTGCGCGCTGACGTCATCACGCCCTCTGCTCGTCGATCCTACCATAGCGCGGATCGTCAGCATCAGGTAAGGAGCGGCGATACAATTTTTCTCGCTTTTCTTGCTAATGTGGGGGGGGGCAGTGTTACTCGCTATTTTTACTAATGTGGGGGGGGGGGGGCGGTGTTAATTCCCATACATTTACTTTTATAGCCCCTCCCAAATTTTTACTTGCATTCCTGTTCTCTAAAGGGGTGGTCCTAGGGTTTGATGGGGGCGTGGCCAGGTTTGGGGGTGGGGGAGTTCCACCACCTTTCCTCTGAGAAAAAAAGCCCTGTATATATATATAGCGCTGCGTAAATTGACGGCGCTATATAAGCACCTGAAATAAAGAATACATAAAGACCTAGTTTCAGAGAATATCCTTCAGTCCTGTTCTGACCTAAATCCCTAAAGATTAGAATTATTCATTGAATGAGGTGTGACAATTTATTTCTCATACTGGACTGGAAAAAATGCTTGCTTACCTATACCAGTCACCTTCACAGTAGTCCCCTTGTGGAGCAACGGCCTTTTATTTATTTATTTATTTTTTATTTTTTTTGAGGACTTTGCAACTGCTGGAAACTTTTCTAGAATTAGTTTTCCACAGCGCTGCGCAGTATCTTTGTCGTGGCACGCTGGATGTCCAGAATGTCCTTTTTGTGGCCATATTTTGATCTTGGAAACAGTCAAAAGTCACATGGTGCCAAGTCAAGGGAATAAGGTGGTTGGTCAAGTTTGGAATACTTTGGGCCAGGAACTCGCAAACAATGCATCGTGTGCAGGAGCATTGTCGGGGAGGACAATCCACTTGTCAGGCCAGAGTTCCGGTCTTTTTCCTCCGAACAGATTCCTGTAACGGTTTCGTTTTCCACATTTTTATCCGCCCTTTGCGTTTTTTGGCTGCCTACTCACCCCTCCATACACCACCTATGCCATTCAAAATCACTTGATTTTTACCTGGAATATTTCCTGTAAGCCTATAGTAACAGCTAAAGTTTCACTTGCACTGTTGTCAATCGTCACGCAAAATTTGATGTTTATCCGCTTCTTCAGATTCCTGTCACTCGTTTTCCGCCACTAGCAAAACACACACGTGTCATTCCTTCTACTACCCTGTAAAGGCTACGTCCACTGGTCTGCGACCCAGGAGACTGCGAACTAGAACATATCAGAACACGCTCTAGTGCAGATGGCTGTGTGACTCGCCACCGTAGTGCTATGCCGCGGGCATTCCGGGAATTAAGTTGTCCCGGCTCTTATGTTCTTTGGGGGATTTTGTGTCCAAGATCTGTTTAAGAGGGCTGTGCACAGAAAGGTGCATACCCTAAAGGTTTGATTGAAAGCTTGAAGGGGATTTCCTGTTGGCTCTCATAAGAATCTGTAGAGTATGGAGGAGATTTACTAAAGCCGGAGCACCCAGAATATGGTGCAGCTGTGCATAGTAACCAATCCGCTTCTAACTTCAGCTTGTTCAGTTTAGCTTTGACATTAATACAGGCCACACATGGGTCAAATTCTGAATGATTTTTCGTCTGAAAATCGGAAATGTTGTTCGCTCGGTCGGTAATCCGATGGCGCCATCAATGCTTTAGAAAATCGGCCAACCGAGTAATAAAGTTCACCCCATATAACAGGCGAAACTTCTGTTCCTTCCAGGTCACGGCTCACGCGCATATTCTTTTGGGAAAAACGATTGTACAATTTGACCATCATTGAGTCGAAAATCGGTAGTTTTTCACAAATTTTTCCAACATGCCCGATTACCGAAAAGGGGAGGAACCACGAAAATCGGCCGGTGCCATTGACCCCACTAACAGCGAAAATCGGCCGATTTATTTTTAGGTCTGAAAATTTTTCTGATGGAAAAATTGGTCAAATTTCGACCCATGTATGGCCGGCCTAAAGCTCCCGCTCACATATTTGCATTTTGCTTTTAGTGCTTTTTGCATTTTTTTTTTTTTTTTTTTGTTTTGTTTTTTTTCTTTGTGTTTTTTTTGGTTTTTTGGTTTTTTTTATTCTACATGTGTTTTTGGCACGCTTTTTACCGTGATTCGTGTTATGTTCAGCTTTTTTTTTTTTTTTTTTTGCTGAACAGAATAATAATGCAAAACGCAAAAATGCACTACCTTGCGTTAAGTAGCTTCTCCATTTAAACTATTGTAGCTAAGACGCTGCTTTTTAGCTTTTAAAAAAAATGGCCCTGGCCCTTTCCAAAAATAAATCCGCTCAAAAAAGCATACATGTTCCATAGGAAGCCATGTTAAATGGACTGTAGTGTGTATCTGTAAAAAGCACTAAACACATTGGTGTGAACGCAGCCTAAAACCTGGAAGCTGATTGGTTATTATGTTCAGATTCTATGTGCACCACTTTTAGTACACCTCCCCCCTATGTGTACCTGGTAATGTTGGGCCATGAACCAGTGAGGCCTAAATCTCGAACAGCTATTACAGCTTTCTGTTGCTTGCTCAGGATGAAGAGGAGGTTGTCCGTGAGATCATCAAGCAGGAGGAGAGCGTGGATCCAGACTATTGGGAGAAACTTCTCCGGCATCACTATGAGCAGCAGCAGGAGGACTTGGCACGAAATCTGGGCAAAGGAAAGCGAATCCGAAAACAAGTCAATTATAATGATGGCAGCCAAGAGGACAGAGGTGAGAATTAGGCCCGCCTGCCGCTATCCTACAATGTTGGTGATCCTTCTCAGTATTGTCCTCGAATGTCAAATACCTTTTTTTTTTCTTTTTTTTTTTGGTTACCATTTGGTGATCCTTATGTGTATTTTATTTTAGATTGGCAGGATGATCAGTCTGATAACCAGTCTGATTATTCTGTGGCTTCAGAAGAAGGCGATGAAGACTTTGATGAGCGATCAGAGGGTGAGTAATCATCTTGACATATTTTTCATTGATGGTGTTGTTTTTTTTTTTTTTTGTTTTGTTTTGTTTTGTTTTGTTTCTTATCCATCCTGCCAATTTTTTCCTGACAAATCTCATCCATCCGCAGCAGCTCGTCGACCCAACAGGAAAGGCTTAAGAAATGACAAGGACAAACCACTCCCTCCGCTACTGGCTCGCGTGGGAGGCAATATCGAAGTATGTGTGGATGGATACCTGGGATTTTGGTTTTCCAGGACTGTTGGATCGTACTCTGCAGAAAAGCACCGTAAGAGCTATGAATTAACAGAGCAATATGTCTTCCTCTTTTCAGGTATTGGGATTCAATGCCAGACAGAGAAAGGCCTTCTTGAATGCCATTATGCGCTATGGAATGCCCCCTCAGGATGCCTTTACCACCCAGTGGCTTGTGAGAGATCTGCGTGGAAAATCAGAGAAGGAGTTCAAGTAAGGACCACTTTTCCTTTTGTGTATGTAAACCCTAACAAACCCTCTTATTTGCTTTCTTTTTTTTTTTTTTCTTTAAAAAAAGACCATTAAATTTGTGTTTCTTTTTTTTTTTTTTTTTTTTTTTTTTTTTTTTTGTAATTGTGTGGGTTTTTTTGTGTTTTGATTTTTTAATTTAATATATATCTGACTGGTGAGTGCAAAAAAGCCTTTAGACCAGATTTGCAAGAAACTCAGTGCTGTCCTATCCATGCTATAGTATTCTCAGTTTTTATAGGCCTTGGCCATGTTACCTCTGAATTACAGAGCCCCACCCCCTCATGTTACAAGAATGGAGTGGGGGAGGTCTTCTGTAGTCATACCATTCCTGTGCTAGAATGAAAGCTGCTCCTCCATGCATCCAGTACAATGAGCGAGCATTGACGTCCTAGAACAAGATGGCGTGGTGCCTACAGGGTCTCCAGCTGAAAATAAAGAATAAAGGCGACAGGAGAACTAATGCAGCCACCATATTTAAAGACTGTAAGATGCAATATTTTTGTTCCTTGGTGAACCGCTTCCCATCCAGCTCATGGACATAAACAGCCGGACGGGAGCAGTGCCAAAGCGGGTGGCCGTTTATAAACGGGCCCTGCATTCACTGCCTGTGTGCACTCCCTCGCACTCTGGTGTTTTGCTGTGTCCTCCAGACACAGAGGTCCAGTACAGCGATTGGTGTTTTGCTGTGTCCTCCAGACACAGAGGTCCAGTACAGCGATCTGTGTCCTCCAGACACAGAGGTCCAGTACAGCGATTGGTGTTTCGCTGTGTCCTCCAGACAATCGCTGTACTGGACCTCTGTGTCTGGAGGACACAGCGAAACACCAATCGCTGTACTGGACCTCTGTGTGAGGTCCCGATTCACGTGATCACTGTTTGGCCAATCAGTGATCACATGAGTAGTAAGCAAGATGTCACTTGCTGACGACATTGCTTACTACTTGTGAAATCTGTGAATGATCACATGGTACAGGGTTATTCACACACCCTTGTACCATGTGCCCAATCACAGCTCTCACAGTATTTCTCAATGGCTGAAAGAATGCAGCCAGAGAAAAGGAGAAATGATTGTTTTTACAGCCTTTTATGGGTGTAAAAGCAATCAGTGCAAAAAAAGAAAAAAAAAATCATCACCCCCTACACTATGATGACATTGTACTGCTAGGGTGATGGTATGTTAAAAAAAAAAAATTAATAAAAAATAATGTAAAAACTTTTAAATTATACTTTTTGGTTATAAACTATTTTGGGTTATTTTTGTTTACTAAAAATATAGCTGAATACATTTTGGCCACGATTTATGAAGAGACTATTTATTTGCAAAATTTTATAAGAACACTTTTTGAAAAAAAAAAAATGTTTAGACTTTTTCATTTATATAGCAAAAAAAATAATCCCAGCGGTGAATAAATACCACCAAAATAAAGTTCTATCTGTCTCAAAAAAAAAAAGTTACATTCGTATGGGTACAACACTGACCGCGCAATTGTCATTCAAAGTGTGATAACACTGAAAGGTGAAAATTGGCCTGGACAGGAAGGGGGGGGAGAAAGTGTCCAGACTTGAAGTGGTTAAGATACATTTGAGGTCTTTTAGTCCTTTTTTTTTTTTTTTTTTTTACCTCTTCTGCAATGTGTGTAGCAATATGAAGATAGATCTTTAGTGGCTGCTTCTAAATTTGTTCATTTCATGTAATATTTCATGAGCCTTCTTCAATCTCTTTAATTCCCAGGGCCTATGTGTCGTTGTTCATGCGTCATCTCTGTGAACCTGGAGCAGACGGGGCTGAGACCTTTGCAGATGGAGTCCCAAGAGAAGGGCTATCCCGCCAACATGTGTTAACCAGGATTGGCGTTATGTCGCTCATTCGTAAGAAGGTCAATATCTCCTGTGTACTTTTATCATTTAGAATTGGCAAAAAAAATCAGAATGTCACTGTGGTGGATTCCTAAAGTGGAACTAAATCCTCTTTACAGTGACTGTCCGGTCACACCGCTGCGATTTGTGTGCAATTTCAGAGAGATTTTTGGAGACTTAATTGCTGCTTGAGAAGAGTTTCACCGATTTCTTGCAATTTTCAGTGCGATTTTGCATTTTCTCTGTATGTGAAATCGCAATAAACTGCAGAAAGTCCTGCAAGAACTACTTTTTGAAATCCAAATCACAAATGTTACCCTAGGTTCACACCTATGCGGCCGTGCGGGGGCCGCGTTTTGCTCGGGCACGAGAGCCCATTCATTTGAATGGACTCCCGTGCCCGTGACATGCAGGGAAGAAGTCCCTGCATTTCTTTGTAAAATGCAGCCGAGGTTCCCAGTACGGTTGCGTTTCCCAGTGCGGGCGGCGTGCCGTTAGAACTAATGGCACCCGCGGGTCTGCAATTCTCTGTGCGGGTGGTGCGGCTGCACGGATTTTCGTGCGGATCTGCAGCGGCACCACACGCATAATGTGAACCGGGGGTTAAGACACTGGCATTCACATTCATTAGATGAAATTTCAGGTGCAAATTCATTTCCCAAATCTCACCGGTGTGAGCGGCATTTATGGAAGCTGCCATCTTGGCCTCTGTTTTATCTGCTGTTAGCATGGTGCTGCACATGTGATCCGTTTTGACAGCAGCCATTAGATGGCTCTCAACCAATCGGTCAAGCCAACATAAGCACACTAGTACCTATAAGACAGACCATACATTAAGCAATTTTCTTTCCAGCAACTGCCAACGTGTTGATGGGGGAATCCCTCCCACAGCGCTATTTTGTTTTGCTGGAGGAAGCCTTCCCTGCCGGCAGAACACATATATAGATAGATGGATATAGCTGCCAGCAGTGTTTGCATGTAAAAACTCCCAACTGGCTGGTTGTACTGAAGTCGATCCAGCTGAACCAGCCAAGATTTGATCCATGTATAGTCGGCTTTACTGTTACCATTTATGGCATGCCTTGAATGTAACTGTTTGGGAAACTGGTAAATCAATGGGTTTAGTTCCTCTTTAACCCCTTGGTGCTGGTGCCTTCCGGCCCTTTAAGAGTTTCAGAAGCCGGGAGGTGGGGCGAGGTTTTAGGGTCATGTGGCCGCCGTGATTCGCTGTCATGGCGGTCACATGATCGGAAAGGTCCTGATCGAAAGAGGAGATCGGGACCTTTCCGGGAGTACTGGACATCTGTGCTGGGAGTGCGTAGAGCGCACGCTCTCAGCGCATATGTTTTTCTTAATTGCGTGCAAATGTGCACGGACCCCAGACGCCGGAGGCCGCACATTTGCGTGCGGTTGATGCAAAGAGAGTTTAAATCCTTTTGATTCTTATCTGCTTGGAGATATTTGAGTTGATTATATCAAACTTTACTTCTCATGCAGAATGGAGCTGTGGCTTGTTCTTTCATTTATATACTTGTCATTTTCTTACAGGTTCAAGAGTTCGAGCACGTGAACGGGCGCTGGAGTATGCCGGAACTGGCGGAGGCAGAGGAGAACAAGAAGAATTCCCCTGTCGATTCTCCATCACCCAAAACGCCCACTCCATCTACCCCCGGGGATACACAGCCCAATACGCCAGCTCCTACCCCTGCAACTGGTGAGCTATATTGGTGAAAGATTATTAACCACTTTTAAGTCCAGACACTTTCACCCCCTTCCCCCCAGGCCAATTTTGAGCTTTCAGCGCTATCACACTTTGAATAAAATTGCGCGGTCATGCAACACTGTATACCCATATGAATTTTTTTAGCATTTTTTTGAGACAAAACGTTTATTTTGGTGGTGTTTATTCACCACTGGGATTTTTTTTTTTTGCTACATAAATGAAAAAGTCCAAACTTTTTTAAAAGTGTTTTTCTCATACAATTTTGCAAATCTTTCTTCATAAATCTTGGCCAAAATGTATTCAGCCATCTCTTTTTAGTTACAAAAAAATAAATAACCCAAATTCGTTTATAACCAAAATTATAATTTTACTAAAATTTTTGACATTTTATTGTTTGTTTTTGTTCTTTTAACATACTGTCACCCTAGCAGTACAGTGTCACCATAGTGACACTGTACTAGTGGGGGGGTGATGAGTTTTTTTTTTTTTTTTTTTTTTTTGCACTGATTGCTTTTACACCCATAAAGGCTGTAAAAGCAATAATTTCTCCTCCTCTCTGGCTGAATTTTTGCAGCCATTGAGAAATACTGTGTGAGATGTGATTGGTCACAGCTTGTCACATGGTACAATGCTGTTGTAAATAGCTTTATACCATGTGATCTCTGATCATTCACAGATTTCACATGCAGTAAGCAATATCAGGAAGTGACATCTTGCTTACTACTCTACTTGTGGGGGGTGATGATTTTTTTTTTTTTTTTACACTGATTGCTTTTACACCCATAAAAGCTGTAATATCAATCGTTTCTCCTTCTCTCTGGCTGCATTCTTGCAGCCATTGAGAAATACTGTGTGCGCTGTGATTGGTCACAGCTTGTCACATGGTACAAGGCTTTTGTAAATAGCCTTGTACCATGTGACCTCTGTAATCATTCAGATTTCACACGTAGTAAGCAATGATCATCTTGCTTATTACTATTCATGTGATCACGGATTTGGCCAATCAGTGATCACATGATCGGGACCTCACACAGAGGACACAGCGGGCACCGGATCGCGGTGCCGTGTGCTTCCAGGGAGAGCACACAGGCGGGGAGGACGTTTATAAACGGCTACCCGCTCCTGCACTGCTCCCGTTCGGCCTTTTATGTACATGGGCCGGACGGGAAGTGGTTAACTTGTACAACAAATTTCTGTAATCTTCTCCTTTTTGGTGCGTTTTTGTCTCACAGAAATGTCTGAGTATTTTTTTTAGCTTCCTTTGCTCTGTCCCCCACTGCTGAGGCGGGGAAAAAAAACTGCACACCTTCCTATGGTGCTGCTGCTCCTCCAGTGATTCCTGCTGTAAAGTTAACATGTTGCCTGGGAATTTCCAACATGTACAGAAAAAATTAAGCCACTTGCTATGGGCTCCTCACTGTATTCTATAGGCTTTCTGTGAGTTGAGCCACACGGCTTCCATGTCCAGTCTTCATCACAGACTCCCCTCTTCACTTCATGATTTGTGGGAAGCCATGGCTGGACGAACAGTAAACCTGTCTGTTTAGGAGGGCCGCACACAGTAAAGTGCTCTCCCTTAAAGGCTCGACAGGACATGGCTACCTTCTGTAGGTAGGCAAAGGGCAGTAACCCATAGAACACCAAACTGTAAAATGAACCATGTTGGGGTGAAAGCAATTATTTTTAGTATTTAATTGGTTCTATTCTGTTTTCCTTTTTTGTAGACGAACCTGCAAAAACTGAAGAGGTTGTTGTAAAGGAAGACACACCAGAATCTGAAACCAAACCCCCAGAGGAAAATACAGAGGTGAGTCAATGATTGGCGTTTCCTCTTTAAAGAGACCCTGTCACCATATCCTACCCCAAACTACTAGACCACAGGTGTCAAACTGGTGGATGTATATTATATAGGGTATGCTTGTTAGAGCCTAACCTCTGTAGCTGTAGGATAAAGGTGCCAGATGGATATCAGGGATGGATATCAGGGATGGATGGATGGGAGCAGTAACACCGGGGCGGCTCTTAGAGTGGATGCAAGGCTCTAATGCAGTAAACATGAAAAAGAGAGGAAGGCACCTCTAAGTGAAGTATATGTACTGCTGTTAGAGGCGCCTTCCTCTCTTTTTCATGTCGAACTGGTGGCCCTCCAGCTGTTGCCAAACTACAAGTCCCATGAGACATTGCAAAATTGACCGTTACAAGCATGACTCCCAAAGGCCGAGGCATGATGGGACTTGTAGTTTCACAACAGCTGGAGGGCCGCCGTTTGACACCCGTGTACTAGACAGTCGGGCATGAGGTGCACTTAATGAAGCACTGCATTGTTCTGTAATGTAAAATTACGCTGCAAAAGTATCCACACGATTCAGCCAAGAAATTGGCACCACTTGCCATGTTTCATTATGAGATGTCCAGGCTGCCCACACAGCCAGGCATCTAGCATTTGCAGACTTAAGCAACACTTTATTGAAATATCCATTAGTATCCTTGAGGGGCTTTCATTCAGGGATCTGTCGCCTCTTATTTTTAGCAGACCACCCAACCTGCTGCTGCAGCAGCTGCGGCGGCACCACCTCCACCACCACCTCCACCACCACCACCACCATCCACAACAGCCTCCACAACAACCTCCACAGAGAACCGATCTCCCCCTGCCCCAGCGGAGGCAAAACCGGAGGAGCCGGAGAAAGAAGAGAAGCCTCCAGCAGCAGTGGAGCCAATGGAGACGGAGACCCAGAAAGGTGAGGGAAATGGAAATCTTCAGTTGGATATTACAGACTCCACATTGGAAACTTGCAACTGCCACAGCAGTATATTTGATTCCCGTATAGTCCCAATCAAAGGTTCTGCAGTTTGGAATGTTCTCATGGCTGGCGGGTTGCATGGTTTTTTTTTTTTTTTTTTTTTTTTTTTGTTTTTGTTCATGCGCCAAGAGTTAGGCAGCTATTTTCTACTGATGCTGTGTTTTTTTTTCTGCTGTCGGCGGCCATTAAAGATCTCCTAGAATGTGTCAGCACATATTGGGATTTACAGTAAATGTTGTAGTGCAGTAACACGTGTTCATCAGGGGACATTTTCACATTTTCTTTAGGGGTATAAGCCCTGTCCTTGGGAGAAAGGACACTAATCAAAGCAGACCGGCCTGGTCCCTGGAGCTTGTCCCTTCTACAAGCACAGAGTGTGACCTGCATTTTTGCATTGTACCCTAGCTGGTAGGACATTCTAGTTTTTCCCACAGAATATTTGAAACACTAGCATATTTCCATCTAAATTGTTTTTATATCAAATAGTACATGCAGAATTTATCACAGAGTTCTTTCTAGAGTTGAAAGGATTAAAAGCAATCTTGACTGCAGCTAAGTTTCACACAGTGGGGGTGCGGGCCGCACCGGGTGACATCATCTCAGGGGGTGCAGGAGCAGGATGCAGGCACAGTGACCGCTTCCCCCGCCCCAGTGTAGCAGTAAAATGCGTATCCCCTGAAGCAACTGCGCATGTGCTGGTTTCAGGCCGAAGAAGCCGATCGCCTGCTCTGTGCTAAAGTCGGAGATCGGCTTCTTCGGCCTGAAACCAGCACATGCGCAGTTGCTTAAAGGGGTGCTCATTTTACCGTTACACTGGCACCGCTCCTTCCTTTCTGGAGGCGTGTTACCGCACGGTGGGTGACACCGCCTGTTACCGCACGGTGGGTGACACCGCCTGTTACCGCACGGTGGGTGACACCGCCTGTTACCGCACGGTGGGGTGACACCGCCTGTTACCGCACGGTGGGTGACACCGCCTGTTACCGCACGGTGGGTGACACCGCCTGTTACCGCACGGTGGGTGACACCGCCTGTTACCGCACGGTGGGTGACACCGCCTGTTACCGCACGGTGGGTGACACCGCCTGTTACCGCACGGTGGGTGACACGCCTGTTACCGCACGGTGGGTGACACCGCCTGTTACCGCACGGTGGGTGACACCGCCTGTTACCGCACGGTGGGTGACACCGCCTGTTACCGCACGGTGGGTGACACCGCCTGTTACCGCACGGTGGGTGACACCGCCTGTTACCGCACGGTGGGTGACACCGCCTGTTACCGCACGGTGGGTGACACCGCCTGTTACCGCACGGTGGGTGACACCGCCGGTTACCGCACGGGGGGTGACACCGCCGGTTACCGCACGGTGGGGTGACACCGCCGGTTACCGCACGGTGGGGTGACACCGCCGGTTACCGCACGGTGGGGTGACCGCCGCACGGTGGGGTGACACCGCCGGTTACCGCACGGTGGGGTGACACCGCCGGTTACCGCACGGGGGGGTGACACCCCGGGTTACCGCACGGGGGGGTGACACCGCCGGTTACCGCACGGGGGGGTGACACCGCCCCTAGGGACGCTTGTGGTTTCACATGCTGTGTTTAGGCTGTCACTGCCCTCAAGTCTCGTGTCTAAGCTTTCCTTTTTCTTTCAGCAGAGGCAGATAAATCTGACGACGTCATCACTATAGACGACAAGAAAGGTGAGTGTCCTTGACGTTGGTTATTATTCTTCCCTGCCGCACGCAAGAAAACTCTGATCGACGCTTTCTTCCTTCTCTAGATGACGTCCAACCAGTCCCATTACAAAATGGAGAGACGCCTAAAGAAGCTGCGGACGAGAAGAAGAAAGTTGTTGCCACAAAACAGAGATTCATGTTCAACATTGCGGATGGAGGTTTCACAGGTGAGAATTGTGCAATGTGTGGGAGTTTACAAGGAAGGTGGGGGGGGGGGGGGGTGGTGTCACTTATAACAAGGTGTACTTATCCCACATCCTGAATGGGTTTTATAGAAGATGTTGGTGGGTATTGTACCTGTGAGGATCACCAGTTTTTCCTTACTAACACCATCAATGGGGCAGTATTCTTATTGATGTCAATGGGGAGCTTTCCCTCCCATTAAAACCAATGATGGCACCGATGCCGGGGAATTTTCTACTGGGCAGTCTGGCCCCCCTAAAGCACAGTAAACTGGCCCTTTTC